GTTCTACGTTTTTGACGTCATCACCAACATTGTCATCATCCTCCTCCTCCTCCTCCTCCTCATCATCATCATCATCATCCTCCTTCTCATCATCATTAACACCTTTAACGATATCTCTGGTATCATTACGATCACAATCACTTCCACGCCATCATCATCATCATCATCATCACCACAACAACAACAACAACAACCACCACCCTCATCATCATCATCATCATCATCATCATAACCCTGAGAGCGACGTAAGGATGTGCGTTGCATGCCTCCTGACACATATTCCTCGTCATCCCCAGACCAGCCACCAGCTGGCGGTTAAAAACTCGGAAACAACCGATGTAAATGTCTTCATTCATTCCTGACCACGTGATGATAGTGGCACGGATAGATACAAATCAATAGATACAAATCAATAGATACAGATCAATAGATACAAATCAATAGATACAAATCAATAGATACAGATCAATATATACAAATCAATAGATACAAATCAATAGATACAAATCAATAGATACAAATCAGTAGATACAAATCAATAGATACAGATCAATAGATACAAATCAATAGATACAAATCAGTAGATACAAACCAATAGATACAAATCAATAGATACAAATACACAGATACAAATCAATAGATACAAATCAATAGATACAGATACACAGATACAAACACCTCAAACACCAACATACTGGCTCCGAATATTTCAAAACTCCGAAACTTTATATCATCGTGTAATGGCATCTCAAATAAGACGTTCTGAAGTATTTGAGTTGGTTCCTCGTCTGCGTATATCACAACTGTATAATGACTCTGGAGACTTTGGTTGCCATCTAGAATGTTGTAGTCGTATCGATGGCCCCCGATGGTCAGCGACAAACCCGACGTTTCTGTGGAGAGAAAGACGAAAATTGAAATGCAGCAACGATTGTTGAAGCGAGTCAGCTCGGTCATTCAAAGGTGTGTGATTTATATAGAAAACTAGAAACATAATTTGTATTTTCTGTTACGGTGGCCATGCTCGATGAATTTCAATAAGAATTCTATCATGGTCAGCCCGCTTCTTATCATTAAATTCTTTTTTTTTAGATTTTATGGAGCAAATAAAATTTCGTTTC